TAGAGGAGAGAGCCACACAGCTTGAGGTGTACTGGTGCTTGCTTTTGTCCCCACTAGAAGGACAGGGTTCCACGTGGTTCTGTTCATCCCTCACCTTCTCCCTTCTCCCTCTAGGGAGGTGTTCGAGCCAACCATGGAAAGAGGTGAACTGGTAGTCAGGTATCGTGTCCGGAAGTCCTATAGTCGCCGGACCACCGAAGCCACTTGTAAGTGAACTCCGTGTCTTCTTCCATTCACAGGTCTGAGAGAGAGAGAGAGAGAGAGAATTGAGTCTCTGTGGGTGATCTGAGATTCTGTAGATGCATGAGACAAAAGTTTCTGAAGGTCTTTAGAATGTTAGAGCCTCGGGTCCTCGGGACAGTGAAGCCTGGACCGCACACAGCCTTAGAGCAGTAGAAGGCAGGGTGTTATGTATTCTCACCACTGCAACAAAAACAGCTTCAAGAAGAAAAGGTTGGTGGCGCACGCTTTTAATCCCAGCACTCTTGAGGCAAAGGCAGGCGGATCTCTGTGAGTTCGAGGCCAGCCTGGTCTACAGAGCGAGTGCCAAGATAGGCTCCAAAGCCACACAGAGAAACCCTGTCTCAAAAAAAAAACAAAAAACGAAGGAGGAGGAGGAGGAGGAGGAGGAGGAGGAGGAGTTAAACTTGGTCCAGAGCTTGAGGGTAGGACTGGTCCATGGTGATGAAAAGGCTCAGGCAGTTGGAGTATTAGGTGGCTGGTTAGTTTCCATCTGCAGTCAGAATGAACTTCATCTCTGATGAAGCCTTCGTGCTCGGTTTAATTTTCTCCCTTTTATTTGATCCAGAACCCCAGCCCAGAGAATGGTGTAACCCATATTTAAGGTGGGTCTTTCCACCGCAACTCCTAATTCAGAAACTCCCTCCAACACATGCCCAGAGACTTGTGGCCTATGTAATTCGAAATCTTGCCAGGTTGACATTAACTTTAACAAATAAGTATTTGGGGTTTTGTCTATTTTGAGACAAAGCCCAGGCTGAACTTCAACAGCTTTTGCCTTCATCTTCCCAGTTCTGGGACTATAGATGTGAGCCTTGACACTTGGCTCTTTCCTTTCTTCCTTCCTTTCTTTCTTTCTTTCTTTCTTTCTTTCTTTCTTCCTTTCTTCCTTTCTTTCTCCCTCCTCCTCCCTCTCCTCTCCTCCTCCTTCTCCTCTTCTTCTAATACAGTCTTACTCTATTACCAGAGCTAACCACAAACTTGCAACCTTCCTGCCCCCACCTCCCGAGCACTGGGACATGGGTCACCATGCCAGGTTAGGATTAGTGAGTCTCAGACACAGTAAATCTTGTTGTTGTTTTGTTTTGTTTTGTTTTTTTTCAAGACAGGGTTTCTCTGTGTAGCTTTGGAGGCTGTCCTGGAACTTGCTCTGTAGAACTAGCTAGCCTTGAACTCACAGAGATCCACCTGCCTCTGCCTCTAGAATGCTGGGGCTACGGGTGTGTGCCACAGCCACCTGGCTAACACAGCAAATCTTAGGAACACCAAAATCTAAGATCCAGAAGCTCTTGGGGAAATGTTTGATAATGATGAGGAGGATGAAGATGATGGTACTGACAGGAGACGGTGAGGACCAGGACAATGGTGTGACTGACGCTTCCCATCCCCTCCTTGCTTTTCTAAGCATTTTATAGACGTCACCTCATGGGATCCTCAAAACCCAAAGGCATGGGTGCCTGTTCTCACCCTCACTTCAAAGATGAGGGAGCTGTAGCATAGTGTAGCTAAGCAATTTGCTCAATGTTGCACAGCTCGTCAAATGGATAAGTGAGATTTAAACCCAGCCGGTTTCCCTCTGACATCATCTTTGTTTGGTTTTGTTTGCTTTTGATAGGGTCTTCAGCTGCCCTCAAACTTTCTATGTACCCAAGATTCTCTTAAAGTTCTGATCCTACTGCCTCCAATTTGTCCTGAAGTCTCTCCTCTCTCTCTCTCTCTCTCTCTCTCTCTCTCTCTCTCTCTCTGTGTGTGTGTGTGGGGGGGTTATACTCTCGCTGGCTCTCTCTCCCTGCCTCCTCCTCCCTCTTTTGCTGAAGATGGAGGTTTCTGTCCCACGGGGTCCCGCCACCCTTTAGCCCCAAATAAGCATACAGAGACATATTAATTATAAAACTGTTGACCAATGGCTAGGGCTTCTTACTGGCTAGTTCTGTCTTAATTATTAACCCATTTCTATTCATCTGTGTATTGCCACAAGGCTGTGGCTTACCTGTAATCCGACATGTTACTCCTTTTGGCAGCATGGCGTCTCTTTGAGGCCCTCTCTGCCTTCCTCTCCCCAGAATTCTCCTGGTCTGGTAGACCCTCCTTCCAGCCTGGCTACCGGCCAAACAGTGTTTTATTCATCAACCAATAATAGAAACATATATACAGAAGGACATCCCTCATCATTTTGTTCCTTCCCTCCTCCCTCTCCCTCTTTCCTGGGACTGTAACTCGGGGCCTTGCCTATTCTAGGCAAGCAGGGTACCACAGACTGACTTCTTGAGTCAGTGTCTCACCATGCAGCTCAGGCTGGCCTTGAACTCTCCATACTCCTGCAACAGCTTCCCACATTCTGGGATTACATGAGTGTGCCTCCGTACTCGACTTGAAGTCTACACTCCTAACTGCCGCACCTGGAAATGACCTCTTGAAATTATAGGACATTAGAAACGATTAATAGAATTGGAGACTCAATCTCAGCCAGAAAAAAATAACACGCTCAGCACTGCAGCCTCTTATAGTTTTGAAAACCATGGGGTCTTAGAACTTGAAGACCCTCAGGAGAGTCAAAGAAGGTCCCAGCTGAGGATGGACATCAGAGGGCGCCACCCATGAAAGCTCCTTAGCTCTCTGCTGGGGAAACTGAAATCCAGAGAACAAAGGGACCGAGCTAAGTCTAGCACACTGACTGCCAGGGTCCCAGGGGATGCTGGGAAGGTCTGGGAAAGACATTTTATTTACAAAGAGAAGCCGGCAGCAGTAGGAAGGCTGCAGTGATTCGTTGGAGTAACACACAGCCGCGGTTCTTGTAGCGTGAGCCTGGTCCCCAGAGGTTCCTGAGACCTGGGCTGGACATCTATGAGGTCAAAGTGATTTTCACAGTCGAGTCATCACCAAGATGCTGCTTGCTGTTTTGCACCCTCGTTCTTTCAAGGGAGTCTCCCTTGGACTCCCTGATCTGTGATAATATCGTCAACCACCTATATAGAACATATGCTAGTGTGTTATCATGCTTTTAGAACGCTATCGCCAGGGGCTAGAGAGATGGCTCAGTGGTTAAAGAGCATTTGCTGGGCTTCCAGAGGACCTGGGTTCGATTCCCAGCATCCACGTGGTGGCTCACACCCATCAATAATTCCTGTACCGATTGTCTGGTGCCCTCTTCTGGCTTCCATGGGTACTGCATGCACATGGTACACAGATGGACATGCAGGCAAAACATACATACACATTTTTTTAAAAGATTTTATTTATTTATTATGTATACAACATTCTGCTTCCTTGTATATCTGCACACCAGAAGAGGGCACCAGATCTCATAACGGATGGTTGTGAGCCACCATGTGATTGCTGGGAATTGAACTCAGGACCTCTGGAAGAACAGTCAGTGCTCTTAACCTCTGAGCCATCTCTCCAGCCCCCACACATTTTTAAAAATAAAAACAAACTATTATCTTAAATGGAACACAGTGGTAGATCGTGAGAGGCTAAAGTAGGAATACTAAGAGTTTGAGGTTTGCCTGGGCTAGGTTGAGTTCAAGGCTAGCCTGTGTAGGTTTGGGGATGTAGCCCAATGTTCAGTGGTAGAGCCCATGCCTAGAATCCCTCAGTGAGGGGCTGGGAACATGGGTAGGTTTGGTTGAATATTAAGACTTTTTTTAATGAACTGAATATAAGTGTCTTCTGCACTACCTAATAATATTCTTATATGAAGATTATGGATTCTGTTTTGTTGTTGGTAGCGGTTTACTGTTTGAGACAGGGTCTCATTATATAGCCCCCACTAGGCTCAGATTTATTATGTAGACCAGGCTGGCCTTAAACTCACAGAGATGCGCCTGCCTCTGCTTAGCGAGTGCTAAAGATGTATGTTTTTGAGAATGGCCTCTTATGTAGCACAGGCTGTCCTCAAGCTTGCAGCACTTTGCCTGTTTTTCCTCCCTGCGGAGGGCTAGAGGAATGTTACACCATACCTGACCTTGCTTATTTTGTAATCACATAATTACAATATTTATGGGGTACAGTTTCTGGAACACAGGGGGATAATTAGATACTTGTGTATAGGGTGTAATTATCAAGTCTGGATGATTAGCTAATTAGGCTTTCCATCTCCTTTAAACTCTTGCCGTTTCTTTTGTGCTGGTAACCTCCAAGCTCTGAAGAACTGTATTTAACAGCTGGTATAGAGGGTGCTGACCAATTAGGGTGCCCAGTGGAGCAAGGTTGTGGCCAGGTTTTCTATGGAGCAGATTTTTAGGCTACAGGAGCTGGGATAGGTGGTCGGGGCAGGAGCTAATTTTGAACCAGTGTGGAAGTAATTCAGCCACTTGGCCATGGGTATGTCCCTCTCGGCACATGCTGCCCAAACATCAGCCCTGCCACGCGGCTCTATCCACTCTTTTCAGTGAACAGCCTGCGCATCAGCAAAGAGCTGAAGGAGAAACTACGAGACGTCATGGGAGATCGGCATAAGGTGGCCTTAGGGAAGACACTGGGCGAAGGTGAGTCTCACACACACACACACACACACACACACACGAGATCCACACACACACAAGAGAGCCAGGGGAACCCTGGGATTCCTATTTCCCCAATTCTCAGCCAACTGAGGGACACAGCATCCCCATGGGTCCCACTGAGGTCAGTGTCTTTCTTCTTCTGCCACAGGAGAGTTTGGTGCAGTGATGGAGGGCCAGCTCAACCAGGATGACTCCGTCCTCAAGGTTGCCGTGAAGACAATGAAAAGTGAGCATGTGGACGCGTGCGTGCACATGTGGGGCCCCAGTCCCTAACCCGAGCCTCTTCCCTATACCCTGGGACAGTACCAGTTAGAAAACTGAGCCCATGCCAGACACTTGAATAGAGGGAATTGACATAATAATTGAGGCATCAAAACAAATAGATCAGGCTGGGTGTTGGTGGTAGAGCCCCTGCCTAGAATCCCCCAGTGAGGGGCTGGGGGTGTGGCTCAGTGGGTAGAGCCCCTGCCTAGAATCCCCCAGTGAGGGGCTGGGGACATGACTCAGTGGTAGAGCCCCTGCCTAGAATCCCCCAGTGAGGGGCTGGGGACATGACTCAGTGGTAGAGCCCCTGCCTAGAATCCCCCAGTGAGGGGCTGGGGACATGACTCAGTGGTAGAGCCCCTGCCTAGAATCCCCCAGTGAGGGGCTGGGGGCGTTGGGGGGGCGTGGCTCAGTGGTAGAGTCCCTGCCTAGAATCCCCCAGTGAGGGGCTGGGGGCATGGCTCAGTGGTAGAATGTTTGCATGGAGGGCTGAGAACACGGCTTATCAATAGAGCTCTTGCCTGGACTCTCCCTCTGGGGGATTGACTTGCATTTGCAAGACTCTGGGCTCTCCTCTAAGTGTTACCTAGACAAGCAAACAAGTTAACACCTATTAGGGATAAAAAAAAATCATTTAACGTAAGTAAAACAGTGAGTTTGAGTCTGGCATCTTAAGATTCAGTATAATGTGTGATGAAGATGAGTGATGACATAGCCCGAGGAGGAGGAGGAGGAGGGAAGAAGAAGTCCTCTCCCTCCTCCCTCTCTCCTTCCCTCCCGTGCCACTCACCTCCCTTCTCTCCTAAGTTGCCATCTGCACAAGATCAGAACTGGAGGATTTCCTCAGTGAAGCTGTCTGCATGAAGGAATTTGACCACCCCAATGTCATGAGGCTCATTGGTGAGGGGGGAACATGTTCCCTCGGGGCCACCCCAGAGCACAGACCACCCCCTTCTGTACTGGAAAGATCAGACTTCCAGGCTACCCAACCCCCTCTCCGTCAGGATCAGCAAGCTCCCCTTCTTCTTGCTCCCTCAACTTGGAATGTGACCTCTGACCCTTTCCCAGAAATAGCTGAGGTCCCCAGGAGGGCTCCGGAAACATCCTTGGGAAATAAATGGCTTTTCTCGAGCGCCATGTCCTTTCCACCCATCTCCCAAACAATGCGGAGATTAGATTTGAGGGGGTGGGAAAAGGGGGAAGGCTGAGTCCGTCTGGGAGCGGGGTTGGGTTCCCCTCTTCTGCCCAGCCAGAATGACAGATCTCCCTTGGGGCGGGGTTCAGGTGTCTGTTTCCAGGGTTCTGATCGAGAGGGTTTCCCAGAACCTGTGGTCATCTTGCCTTTCATGAAACATGGAGACCTACACAGTTTCCTCCTGTATTCCCAGCTCTGGGCCCAGCCAGTGGTGAGGGGTGTTTACTCTTCTGTCCATAAGTACTCATTGCACACCTACCAGGAAGGCGACAGTTGACCTCAGGCCTGTGGATCCTGTACTGCAAGGGTGGGCAAGGCAATAAATAAGTTAACAGAAATAAGCAAAAGCATTCACTGCTTAAAAGGAAATACAGAAGGAAGAACGATAAGGAGGCCTGGGGATTAATTTGGGTGGAAGGAAGGGGGCCTGGCTGAAGGGGTGACCTTGAAGGAAGCGCTGACTGAGGAAATACTGGGACATCCAGGCAGGAAGCAATCCCGACCAAATGCTTAGCGTGGCCCGGGGTCTGAAGACCAGGAAGGGGGCCCCTGGCTGAAGTGTTGTGTCGAAGGCTAGAACAATAGCCCACCAAGTCAGAGAGGGGTAGATTTTCTAGGATCGTGAATCTGTGGGAAAGCCGATGTTCTCAAAGCCATAGAAAACCACAGCTCGCCTTTCATCCCAGCACTCGGGAGGCAGAGGCAGGTGGATCTCTGTGAGTTTGAGGCCAGCCTGGTCTCCAGAGAGAGTTCCAGGATAGGCTCCAAAGCTACACAGAGAACCCCTGTCTTGTAAAACCAAAAAAAAGAAAAAAGAAAACCACAGCTGATCCAGCTAGGTGAACATCGGGAGGGAAGGCATGCCGAGGAGTGAAATGGGTTTGTGACTCTTTTAACCACTCTTTTTTTTGGCCTTGCCTTCCCCCCCCCCTCCTTCTCTTGGCCTTGCCTTCCCCCCCTACCCCAGTTCCTGCCCACTCAGATGCTGGTCAAGTTCATGGCTGACATTGCCAGTGGCATGGAATATCTGAGTACCAAGAGATTCATACACCGGGACCTGGCTGCCAGAAACTGCATGTGAGTGGCAAGTCCGCTGGAAGCCCCACCTTCCTCAAAGAGCTTCCTTCCCCCTTCCCCAAGATGAAAGGGAAACT